AAAAAAAGACATTTAAAGTCTTTGGAAAGGAACCGCCATTTTTTTTTTTTAAGCAAACCAAAACGTACTATTTCGCAATTTCAAACAAAAAAAGAAAAAAAAATGTATTTTTCTAGCACTTTTGGACGAGTCCCGCGAGCGCTGCCTCATCTTTGACGTTAGCCCATCCGAGTCCGTAGCGGCCAATGGGCGACGCCGGTCGGAAAGCGCATCGCAGTTTGCCTTTTTGGCGCGTGGCGAATCGTCGCACGCTCGCTCTTCACTTTTGCCGCCTTTGTTCGCGGGCGGCCGAGCAATGCGCGCAACGCACGCGCGCACTCGTGGCGACAAAGCAGCAAAGCGTCTCCTTGGTCTTCTTCTTCTTCTCGGTTCCGTGTTTGTGTGTGGAGACTTGAAAACGGCGGCTGCTGTCCCGATCATTTCAGTGTGAACAAAAAACGCATCTGTGTTTTGGAAATTCTTCTTCTTCTTCTTCTTCTACAAATTCTTTTTTTCTAAGAGACCATGAGAAGACGACGACGGGCTCTTCTCTTACTATCAATGTTAACGGTGTTCTTCAAGAGTTTAAAAAAAAAATGATGAAAAGAGTAAAGAAAAAAAAAAAAAAGGAAATCAGCTACGGTACATTTCTATTTTTTTGCCTCGCAGAAGAGGAGAAACATGAACGCGATGCTAACGGATGCTAACTTTGAGTGCCCGCCGAGCGGCCGCCGCCCGGTCCGGACGGGCCCTTCCGCTCCGCGTTTCTCATCTTTACGTCCTCCGAGCAGCCCCTCTCTCTCTTTTTATCACCTCGCTCATCTTTTTGGGGGGTTTCGTTCCCCGTCTCGAGGCCATGAAATAATATTCATCATAATAAGAAGAAGGCGCCGAGGTCAGCAGGCGTCCGCGAGCACTTTAAATATTTCAACGCGTGCAAAATGAGCCGTCATGAATGATAGATGGGAGCCAACCTCGACCTCCGTCTGGCCTCGTCCTCCGGGCACCAACGCTGCCGCCGCGTGCGCCGAACGAGTCGAGACGTTGGCGGACTCCGCGAATTTTGCGCTCGCGTGCTCCCGGGGCCAAACGACAACGACGAGGCGCGATGTCATTTTGGGGGAGGTGTTGGCAAAAACCACAGACATCATTTTCTTTCCAATCAAAAGCAGAACTTCTCCAAATGAGACAGAGTTGTCTTTTGGAGCGCCGAGTCACTCGGGAGGACTTTTGATTTCCAAATCTTTTTATTGCTTGTCAAACAGAAAGCTGAACATCGCGCGCATGGGGCACAACTTGCGCACTCGCTCGCAGATGACGCGCTCAGCCGCAGGCGAACCTCATCGCCGACGGCCATTTCCGCAACTAAATACGAAAGTCGCCCAAATGGCAACAAGGAGAAGAGCCGGGAGGAAGAGGGAAAAAGAAACGAGACGGGCGAGACAAGTAATCCAAAACCTCATCATCATCATCAGCCAGGGAGGGTCGCCGGTTCGGCGGCACGTCCGCCGACCGGTGAGGACGTGGGCCTCGCAGCGCAGAGGCGCAGGATTCCATTCCGGCCTCGCCGTGTGGACTTTGCGTGTTCTCCACGTGCCGCCGTGATTATTCTCGGCGTACTCCGCTTTCCTCCCACGTTCCCCAAAACACGCATGGCAGGCTGATTGAACGCTCCAAATTGTCCCATTTCTCTTGTCGCTACACAGAGCGAATACTTTTATTCCTCAAGTAAATCAACCAATCAGGACGTTTTGTTTTTTTCCTCAAGTCTCTGTACTTGAGTACTTGTGCCACCTGCGGAAGGACTGAAAGCAACCCTAACCCGTCCCTTGCAAATGAAACAAGCGACTGTCAAAAATTAAAATGTCATCTTGCCAATTACCACCAGAGGGAGACAAAGGAGCGTCGGCCCCGCCCCTCCAACTCCATCACTTTGACAAAACACTTTACATTTTGAATTCATATCGTCCCTCCCAAAAGTAGATTACATGACACTTATTTGTGATACAAATACAAAAAAAAAAAATGTGGATGTCACATGACAGCCACAAACAGTGTTGACTTCACACGGAGAAAAATAAACAAACAAATGTAAAGTACATTCTTTGAAAGGAATGAGCGATTGATCGGTCCATTTGAAGAATGCGGCAAGCGTCCGGGAGCATGCGCAGAACGGCAGCCGAAATTTTGCCGGGCAGAGGCAGTCCACGCGCGGAACCGCATCGTCCTCGCCGTCACTGGACCATCTGGAAGTAGCGCAGGATGGCCATGATGTGCTGCGGCATGAAGACGTAGCCCGTGTACACCGCCATGCCCGCCACGCTGACCAGCAGCGAGTCTGACGCGCCCGCGGTTAACGACAACAACACACAGCGAGTCGGCAAGGACAACGGCAAATTTCAAAAAGCCGACGGACCTTGGCGCCTGACCGCGCCGAAACATCAAAACCGTCCGTTTTGAAGTCAACGGGCTAAATGTAGCGAACACGACTACGTTGACTCATTGCCGATTACGAACGTGCGCGCTTTCCATTTTTTCCGTTGACGTGTTCGAGATTTGTGATGGAGGCGACACTTGGGCTCCGGGTAGCCCCCAAGGAACACCCGAGTAGCCCGCGGTCCGGCTCTAAAAGGAGCTCACCGGAGACGGGAGATGATTTTCCCGGAATTTGTCAACGTCCACCCAGGTCATCGATTCCTGAAAATAATATTGGGCCGCATGACGCTATCTATCCGTTTCCACGTTATCGAGAACTCATGAAGATGATCCGTGTCTTCATATCCATAAAGATCGTTTGTTACGAATAACAACAACCTCTCAAGCTGATTTGAGCAAAGTCGTTGTTTCGGAATCGCGCGTCCAATCGCATGACTCGGTAGCCAAGAAGGAGCTTGTCAGTTTCCAAAAAGTTGGCGACTCCTGACTTCAAACGTCACATTGCGGCTCACCTGAAACTCGGGTCCAAATCGGGAGGGCGACGCCCCAGGTGTCAACTCGCCAACGACGCGACGCGTCCAGTTCCGAACACTCGGCGAACGCGCGGACTTAACGCGAACCCGAGGCCGAATTCGTCGCACACTTTGTTCCGGAAACGCAGCCTTTCCGGGGCAACGCGGAAGAAGAGCTCGCGCGGGGCCCGGGCGGGACCGCGAAAAGGATACTGAAGACGGTCCTCTCCCACGGCTCCAGCATGTAGAGAGCCGTCACCAGAAGGTACTGGCGGTAGAACCACGACAAGTTCTTCCAGCAGTCGCCGAGAGCCATGTTACGAACTTGAGCCGAGCTGGCGCTTGCGAGCTTCCCTTCCTCGCTCCGGGCGGCTGCGCGTAGTTCCGGATTGCTGGGTGACGTCAACACGCTTTTGCGCGTCAGCCAATCAAAACACGCAGACGTTGACGCGTCCGTGATCTACCTTAACGAACGGCTGGCCCGATGCGGCGATACGTGAGCCTGCCCCGCCATTTTGGATGTGGCGGATCTTACCGGCTGACAAACGGAAGTAAAAGGACGCAAGCACTTTTTCATCTCGTGAGAAACAGCGACAAAAGATATATTTCAACAATAACGGTGCCAGTGATTCCTATGCATACTCGGCTGCAAAACACGAGAAAAGTATATGTTTTTATTGGTGACTAATAAACGACCCCAACAATTTTATATCATATCTGGGAGACAGTTTTTGTTTTGTGTTTTGTATGAGCAGTGAGTAAGCAGCAAATACGTTTGAACTTTTCATATTGTGAGAATGTCAGAATCAGTCACATGGATCTGTGACTCAATGAACTTCAAACCTTTCCATTAAATATGTAACAAAATACAATCTCTTGACTAAAAGTTTCTTTTTAGTAAAAGAAAAAAAAAAGTGTCACCTCACCCCACAATTTTTGATACACACAACGATGACGGATGATGAAAAAAAAACATGCGCAAAAAGATGTGTGTGTGTGTGTGTGTGTG